GCGCGCTTAGGCGCCAGCACAAAAGAGGGATCTCTCACTTTAGGGAGTTTAGGGCCCCTAGGTGGTGCAAGATTTCATCCATCTCTAACAATATGGATTCAAGTCCTAGTACTAGGTTTTGAAAATTGACAAGGCAGGCAGCGTGGTTAAAAGCAACAGGAGCCTGTCCATGCGCGAAGATAAGCGCAGCATCTCGTCCTTGCAAGAAATCATGGGGCAATTAGCAGGGAGTATGGAATGTTGACTGATTACAGCTTGATTGAGACGCTCCAAACCCGGAACCCTAAGCACAAACCAAATCTGCATGAACAGCGCTACAGCTCTCTCTCTCTCTATCTCTATATGTATACATATATATGTATATGTACATATACCCACACACACACAAACCCACCTGAAAATGAGAACAAGAAGATGTAGCAGCAGAGCCATAGATTCATACGTGTAAATCATGGTACCCCTCGTGTCGCGTAGTAGTGAGTTGAGAACTGTGATATTCGGAGAAATCAATGGAGAACGGACCAGATTCAGGAACACATGGTTTTAGGTTGAGGAACCAGGCTTTGAGCAATCTGTGTCAGGATCTAACCAAACGCGGATCTGGAAAGGGGGTTGCACATAAACGGAGCAAATCCATATGTGCATTTACATGACATGAAGATCCCGAAGAAGAAGAAGAAGCACACCCATATGTCTGCAAACAGAATCTCATAGCTTTACGCACATTCAAGAAAGATGAGGGGAAGAAGAATCACACCCGTACATATGGGTGGTTGTCAAAGTTATGATCCCGTTTTTGGGTTCCCTAAATATTAGGTGCCGTATAAATATAGGGATCCAAAAAAGGACGATAATTAAACCCTGAACCTTTGACAACCACCCATATATTACATATAATCCCATACAATCCCCATATGATCCCCATATAATCCCACATAATCCCCCACATAATCCCACATAATTAGTCCTTGTATATACATACATATATGTACATATACATGGGGGATTGTCAAAATTATGGTCCCTTTTTGGGTCCCTATTTTCATACGGGGCCTAATAGGCTTAATTTAGGGGACCCAAAAAGGGACCATAATTTTGACAATCCCCCATGTAATCCCACATAATCCCCATATAATCCCACATAATTAGTCCTTGTATATAGATACATATATATATATATGGTAGTTTCCCAAATTAAGCGGACCCCAATATAGACCCCAAAATACTATAATCCTTATTATTGGGACCCCCAAAAAGGTACCCCTAATTTTGGGAAAACCCCATATATACATATACATGATACAATTTTACATTCAATGCAGCAAGGCACCTCTGACTTCTGCATCCTCTCGCGCAGCTTGCTGCGCAAGTTACCAACTCGCTCTTTCAGCTTGCGGCCTTCCTGTCAAGAGGTTTAGGGTTTTGGGGGGTTAGGGTTTTAGGGTTTAGGGTTTAGGGTTTAGGATTTGGGGTTCAGGTTCAGGGTTCCGGGTCTTCGGGGGTTTAGGGTTTAGGTTGTTTTTTGTTGTTCTGCCGCCCCTTGGGTTTCGGGTTTAGGGTTCAAGTTCAGGGGTTACTTGGGGGGTCAGGGGGACTTAGTAATAATGGAAAAGAAAATGGAAACTACTACAATATTTAGGGTTTAGGGTTTAGGATTTAGGGTCAGGGGACTTAGTAAGTAGGTTAATAATTGGGA